AACTAGAAAATTACAAACCACAATCTGATAACAGAACTAAAGACAAAAAGAAGAAGTTTATATATAAATGTTTTAAGTGTCACCAGCACGGACACATAGCATCAGAATGCACAGAATAAGGTAAAACTGATAATGTGCGCATGAGCACACAGAAAGGCATTGTAGCCGAAAATTGCTATCTGAATAGTGGCTGCTCCAATCATATGACACAAAATGAAAATAAGTTGGTGTCTTGTAAACCGGAGAAAAGCAATATGAGCATTACAGTTGCGAATGGAGAAAAGTTGCGAGTGCAAGGACGTGGAACTGCCGAACCTTTAGGCAGAGGAATTATTATGTGATGCAAATTTAATCAAAAAGTTCTGGGCTAAAGCAGTCTGTATGGTAGTTTATTTAAAAGACCGGTCAGAAATAAAGTATCTCAATAAATTTGGTCGGGTAGGAAAGTGGACTAACTCGTTTGAAAATCTTTGGTTGTTTAGCATATAGGTAGGTACATTATAATCAAAACAGAAAAGATAAAAAAGCTTGACATGATGTTTGAACCCTTAATTTTTTATCGATTATAATGACAACACAAAAGATTACCGACTAATGCCAAAAGTGTAAAGTTCATGGAAAATGTATTTCCTGATGATGGTATGAATATGAAAACGAAGAACACAGTAGTTCCTATTAATTTAGACCTGACATAAATATAAATAATGCAGATATTATTAAAAATAAACAAAAACTAGGCTGGACGATACCATGTTATCCGAGTGCTCTTCCAAGTAACCTACCCGAGACTTTTTCTCCCAGGAAAAATACGTTACTAACATTACAATGTGTGGGATTGCGGCTTCGTTTGAGTTTGATAGTTACCCCATAATATGACACATTCAAACTTAGTCCATGTCTAGTTAGTTATGCGTCAACACACTGTATAGCCTCACATATGGTATCATTTAGGGCAGAAATACTATTACGTTTTTTATAACTTAATTATGACAAAAATAATTAAAAGGATAATAATCAAAATGTCGCATAGGTATAGACACATATATCCTTAATCTACTTGAAAAACTAAAAAAACTTACAAATAATAATACACATTTTAATAACAAATAAAATAATACGAATAGAAGAGCGGTTAATTACTTACATATGTAGTAAAAGTAAAAATCTCATAAATCAACTAAAAATTAATTTAACTAAACAACAATAATAAAAAGAGCTTAAACTTTTGAATTAAAAACGAGAAATCAAACACAAAAGAATCGTAAAATAATCTGATAACATGTCAATTAAAATTAGTTTCAGCGTAGTGAGCTAAAATAAGTAAACCGCGGCCGCTGGCGTGTCCTTGCGGTGTGTGTGTGTGTGTGTGTGTGTATGTGTGACATCATGACCACGAACGATAGGTACGATAACCACCAATTTTATTCACATCACTTATTAATAGGTTACATCTAATAAGTAAGGTTATACCTAACCAGACGAATATTTACTTTTAGCTGATAGAAAAGGTTGTGGGTCCAATTTTATAGCTTTACGAAAGTAAATACCTAAAATTGTAGGCTTCGAATAAGACAAATGAAAAGTTTCAAGCGTTTTATTGAGAATTTTAAACGCTGTTAATGAAGAAAAATATTGTTGTGTTATTATCTCGATACCTTGGCGTTTAAAGACACTAATTTTAACAAAAATGACATTAAATTAAAATTAAGTCTCAAGGTAAAAAGTTATTTTGTCCCAAATGTCAGTGACGGAGGCTATGTAGGTACCTGCGTTAATTTCCACAAACAAAGTTCACACTTCCGTATTATTTAGTCAACATCAAAACAGTAAGTAGTATATTTAAAAATGCAGATAAAGGCAAAAAAAAGAACGAGAGGAAATATAAATTATTATTTAATTCTGGTTTTTAGTTTTGTTGTTGAAGCTTCAACAGAAATACATAATCTGTGAAAATTTCAACTGTATTACTTTAACGGATTAAGAGTAAGAACGGCACCCTAAAAACCAGAGATAAATGACAACGTAGGTATTAAACATGTACTAAAAGAGCGTTATGAATTAGATTTGACAGATAGAAAAGCTCTTTTGCATGTATGTTCAACGATATCTTTTTATTTAATGACTAGCTTACCGCCAGCGGCTTCGCTCGCGCGGTCTTGTTCCTTATGAATCACCCTATCTATGAAAAAAACCGCATCAAAATCCGTTGCGTAGTTTTAAAGGTTTAAGCATACATAGGGATAGGGACAGAGAAAGCGACTTTGTTTTATACTAATGTAGTGATGATGTTATAGTTTTGTTTCAAAACTAAAACATTGTGAAGTTCACTACATTTGTAATTACATATACTTAAAAGATATTGTCACAAAATCGGTAATAAACTCTCAATATCTATGAAGAAGATCAAGAAATTAAAAAAAACTCGATTCAAAGTCGGCTGGTGAATGAGCATGGCCAACTTCATCCCCGCCCGAATAGAAAACAAATTTCTTGAGTTTTTTTCGTTATTTTGAAGTCTGATTGAGCTTTCTTGTAAAAACTTTATAATATTAAAATTAATATGAAATTTCTCATTATAAAAGTCGGTTATTTATAACATAATACAGTGACTCACAATTTACTTCCTTATGAGCTACCGATGTATGCTAACAGTTCTACGCTCAATTAACGAAAGCAAAGGGTCTCCGTTAATTAACTTAATGTTTTTGTAGTAATTTGTAGTTACCGTGTTACACGGTTCAAGATCGTGTTAATTAAACATTTTAACACAAACCTTTATTTTCCGTATTACAAGTACGACCAGAATAAACATACGTAAACGGATTCAAAATGTCATTGATTACTACTTAATAAAAAAAGGACAAGAGCGAGTTGAACTCACGCGCAGTATCCCGATTAAATATAAAACCATGGATTTCTTAACCAGTATGCGTTTTTTTTTAATACTTCCTCATTGATGTAAACCAAAATCACATACCGCTACCGCTCTACGAACATTATGACTTAGAAGGGTAACTAACAGGAAAAGCTTTGTAAGTTTATATACGTTTAGATTACTTCTTAAAGTTCATAAACTAATGCTTTATTCTAGTAATGTATTCGAACTAATTCTGCCTAATTGCACAGCTAATGATGAAGTATTAAAAAAAAACACTAAAAAACCCCTCCACTAGTTCGAAACTTAGATATCAATAAGTTTTGAAAACTAATTTACTTTTAAACATGAAATAAAACCGGAAGGGTTGTCATGGTGAAATCAAGAACGTACCGTAGCGACATCTAGTTTGATTTCTGGAACTAATGTTTTTTTTTAATACTTCCTCATTGGGTGTATAGTATACCTATAGCTTATTTGCTAAAAGTGTGTGAACAACCTTTTTAAAGTTAAAGCTTACTTCCCTGTTGTGTTTACGATGATTTTTATAAGTAGTTTTTTATATATTATTCTAATTTAAACTAACTTTTAACAGCAACTTCCTCCTCGTATTCGGACTCAGAGTAAAACAGAAAGAAGCTATGACCGTCTCTTTCAAACGAATTCTCACATTATAATCACACACACAGAGTTGTTTTTGTATTTATAATATTCGTATATATATATTTATATTTTTACACCCTTGTCGAACTGGTTTATAGTCATATTAAATTGTGCGCTTATTGTACCAAGTCTTTACAATGGTTTTGGGTAGATTTTTACACTTCATAATAACAAAAAAAAAAACAATATGGTAAGAAAAATTGCTATCGTACCACATTCATTTGAATTAGTTCAAAAGTATTTGAAAAAGTATCATAAGACCTTATATTTCATCATCTCACTCTCATACTCATAAATTCTACTTACTAAACAGTGGGCAATTTGGATTCAGAAAGGTTTACTTTACTGCACTCGTCTGCTTTCAGGTAATTAAATATACATCTAACAATTTACACTTCGAAGTTAAGCTGCTATCTATACTGCCTGAAAAGAGCCCGACTTTTGATCTTGTCAGTCGTAGATAAATTGCTGGCTAGGATACTCAAATGTTATGGAATTTGGAAAAATGCTTCACTTTGGACAGTATCTTAAGTATTTACAACAATGTGTTGAAATATTTTGTGAAAAATTTAAAATTTTTATGTGGTGTGCCACAAGGTAATGTTCTAGGGCCATTGTTATTCTTAATGTGTATATGTAATGACTTTTTAGATATTTAATAATAATAATAACAAAATAATTAATTGTCCCTTAACTTTCTGGCCCCTTGATTTTTCAGATAAGTGGTACCTATCAAAATAAGCTGGTGAACATCTCTCTGTGGGTGTGTCAAAGCAAGAACTTTTAACTAGTCCTGGTTGAATTAGTCGCTGATTGGGTATTTTCCTTTCCTATATCTTTTGCTATGTTAACTTTTTCAGGTACGTGATAGGGTAAAAATAAAACATGTATATATGTTACCTCAAAGGCAACTCATATATTAAAGATATTCATTGATTGATTGAGAAGGGAAGTTAAGCGGAGATTTTGTGTAGTTCATTATTATAATAGCGATAACATATAATATCACCTACCTTAAAAAAGCTAACATAGGTAAACATATAGGAAAGAAAATACCTAGCCTGGCCTTTAAGTTTTAAGACATAATTCTTCCATATATTTTGATATGACAACACCTGTTTCGAAAAAAAAATTATGAGACCACCTAGCATTTTCCTACTTTAGCTTTCGAATAAAATTACTTAAACAATTTTGAAAATTAGGAGCAGTCAGTGAAACATAGACCGATAAACATAAAAAAAAAAGAAATCGGACATAGAAACTTCTCCTTCTTGATGTAGAGCTGTACATATCCAAAAATACTGAAAACACTGTCCAAGAACCGCTATAAAACAATAAACAAAAGAAAATATTGAAAAAAAATCCCAGAACAAAACTTTACAAACATAAATCCATGTTGTGTAACGTTTATTTTTTACTGTTTTTGTGTTAACAACCAATTAAAATAATGATAAAATCTAACCTTCATCTCGTGGAGTCGTAATTTTTGTTATTATAAAAAAAAACACGATAACACATCACATGACTACGCGGCGCCCAACACACCGAGTGACTGAGTGACCGCGCCGGGTCGACGGCATTGAGAGTGCATTTTCAAGATGTGATGATCGTCGATTCATTTTTACACAACTGAAATAATGACATGATGCCCTTGAAACAAAACCTTTTAATGGAAATTAACTTAAATTAAACTTGGTGTTTAAATAAGCAGTTTTAAGTGAACTCGTCATCAAAGTAATTTGTCGTCAAAAAAGCATGCGTAATAACGTCATGGTACCAGCCTTTAAAAAAGAAATGCTAATATGTACCGCCTACTGTACATAATGCATACATAATATTTTATGCAAAAAAAACTGAGCAATAAAGTGTCAAATAAATAAATTAAATATGATTGTGATCTATTGTACACTCGCAGTGTTTGTACGCACAACGGCCAAATCAAACACTTAAAATAATAAAAAAATAAGCATAATTTCAAAAACACCCCTTTATACAAAATTGACAAACTTACAAACTCCTTTGAAAGCTTATCACGGGTATGTAGTATCTAACTTGAGATACGGAGTTTTGCTATGGGGCAATTCAGAAGGAATAAACAGAGCACTTATAGCGCAGAAACAGTGCATCCGAGCAATGAAGGAAGAACTAGTTGCAGGCCTTTATTTAAAGAAATAAATCTATTGACTCTTCCTTGTTTATATAGTTTTGAAGCTTGTAAATTTGCTAGATTACATCCCGAATTATTCCATAAGAAAAATGAGTTTTGTCTGTTTAAAACTAGATATCTATTTAATCTAGTAATGCCTAACCTAAGAAAGGATATAAGTAGGTATAGCAGGAATAGCTATGCCATGGTAGTTGGAATTTATAATAATCTACGCAAAGAAATTGCTGAACTGCCTTTAAGACAGTTTAAATTTAAATTGTTTCAATGGTTAGTCGGCAAATGTTATTATTCGGTCTCTGACTATCTCAAAAATACTTTTTAATACTTAATACTTTTATTTTATCTTCAGTTTTACATTATATTTTAAATTTAATGAATTTATATAATTTTTTAAATATGAGTATTGTATTAATTAATAAAAAGTATGTTTGTATTTTTTAATAATTGACTACTTATTATTGTTTTATAATTGTCTTTAAATTTATTGAATTCGCATGATTTTTTTTAATAATACTATAAATTTACCTATGTTTTGTGTGCCAGTGTGCTATAAATGTGCTGTACTTACGTTATACTTACATCTTTTGAAAACCGTATTTGTAAAAAAAAAAAAAACAGTATTATGGAATGTTTCCTAATTTTATCACTGATCGTTAAACCGATGAACAAGACTCACAGAAATCCTCATTACTCAACACGCGGATTGTCGACCGATACAAATGAACCAGTACAGATTGTTGTCTTTTAATATTACCTACAATTACAGTTTCATGCTGCCCTTTTCCAACTAAATCAGTGATATATTGATGTTGATGCAACTATGTACTAAGTAGTGTCCCCTTCTTTTACCCCGGGAAAATACTTTAAGCAGGGGGACGTGTTACGGCAACTCCCCCGCCAACGTACCAACAGACCGGCTCAATGAAAGACCACTGAGCAGGTCAAATGACCATCATACTAAAAACTCTGGGCATGCCCTCGGTGTAGGGAAGTACACTCTTGGACTCGCATGTAGGAATCAAACTGCAGATGTCTGTACATAATACTCGTTGAAAAACATTAACATAAAATCAATTATATAAAAAAAAACTAGCTGACCCGGCGAACTTCGTACCGCCTGAATCGTGGAATACGCAAAAATAGAAATGGAATTCTGAAACTATGCGCGTTTCGGCGATTCATTTTTATTCATCGATATGTAATAGTTCGCCCGGAGCTTTTTAAATTTTTCCATAACTCATTAGTTATTAATTTTTTTGATATAGTGTAAAAGGCAATTTTGAAGTACATTACATGCAAAACGTATCTAACATTTATTTGAGTACGGATTAATACTGAATTGTTGAAAATAGGTTCGTAAATAACCCATCATTTTACTGTTTTAAGTATACGTAAAAAAATTGTTATTGTGGGTTATCCTTGGAATATAGACATATACCACCGCGGACTTTTTTGTAGATCTATTAAAGTGGTATAAATCCACCATAAAATGTTTTGCTATAACTCAAAAGTTCTTGGCAGTGTTTTCAAGGAAAGCTTTCCGATCGGCTCTATTTTTTCCGACACATTGAACTAATATCGTTGTAATATCGTCAGTTTGTACAAAACCTAAACTTACATACACTAAAAGCTTCCTCAAGAATTGCTCTATCTATTGTTGAAACCGCATCAACATCCGTTGCGCAGTTTTAAAGATTTAAGCATACACAGGGATATAGGGACAGACACTTTGTTTTAAACCTTGTAGTGATTATATATGATTTTATAGTTTGTATTAGGTATAGTTTTCGTAAAAAATATTTAATTATGATTTTAAAGCAAATAATTGATAGCTGAGGGTGCTGACTATTTTTAATTAAACGAATAACTCAATAATAAAAGATTATAAAGTATCTTACCTAAAAAAATATTAAACGCAATAATAAAAAAGCCTAATAAATACAAATTCAAAAAGTTGGTATGCAAAAATTTAAACACAAAGAGGCTCGCAGTTAACAGCCGTCACCAACAGGAGCTTTTAGAAAAACATACTACACATACAAAAAAAAATGATATGTGAAAATGCAAATGCTTTTGAACGTAATATTTTTATGTAGAAAGGTTTAATTGAATTTTCACGACCATTTACCTAAACATTTACTTGTTCTCCATTTTGGATATAATATGCGTTACTAATAAACACCATATCTCTTATAATATCGATAATGTTCGTTGTTGTCTCGTCCTCGATGATGAAAGTTTACTAATGTAGTCCCGGCTTGTATTCTCAGGCGTCACACAATTTTAAAGCTAAAAGCAAAAAATAAAAGAAAAAACGGAACGACACCACTAGTCACCGTGCTGCCATCTATATCCCAAATTCCTCATTCGGTCTTTTGTGTTTTCGATGCGGCGTCCATTTTTTCGTTTTCTTAATAATTTTTAGTTTTTTTATTAATAAAATTAACGAAAAATGTCGAGAAAGAGGTCACCAGAGGAAGAGAAAAATCATTTACTTAAGAAAATAAGAAAGATAGAGAGGAAGGTCATGGATTTACCGGCATCGGATTGTGAAAGTGAGGTTGAGCACATGGTTTTGTTTTTTCCTCTCGGAAACTACGAATTTTGCAATTAAGCACCAATATTGTTTTTTACACTGGGCCTGGGACATTCTGCGGGAATGTATATGGCTGACAAGTAATTAACAATAGAAAAACCTAGGGGTGTTTCGTGGGAACACACGTGGTTTTTTGGTTGGAAAAAAGGTTAGGCTAGGTCATTCTGTGGGAATGAACATGCCGAAACTCGACATTAAATATGTCTTTCGACTTTTCAGACGAAACGGAGCTAATAGAAGGACAGCCTGATAAAGAGAATGTTCCATTGCCGCCAGAAGACGAATTTCCTGATGGTAGTCTCATAGGAGACGATGAACAAGAGGGCTCCTTAGATGCAGAAATTCTAAGCGTATTGGGCGTGGCTCCAGCCCCAGCTCCTAAAAAAGAAGTTTTACACAAGGAGATAGCAGACCGATGGTCTGAAATATTAAGCAAAGGATTGGAAAAAGAAGAGAAAGAGACACTACAAAAAGAAAATAGTTCTTTTGACAATGTTCCCAAGATGATATCACCAAAACTTAATAAAGAAGTAGCTGTGGCTCTTATAGATAGTGCTCGAAAGCGAGATCAGGTAATTGAAAGTAGGCAGAAGCAGATTTCTACAGCAATCTCTTGTATAGGACAGGCTCTGCAAATGTCACTACATAACAGCCAAGATAATAAACTTGCCATAATAAAAAAGATGAACGATGCTGGAAGACTGCTATGTGATTCGCTAATTTTAGACTCCAGGGGTCGCAGATCTCTTATCTTATCAAGTATCAACAAGGATGTCAAAGATTTCCTGTTAGAGACGGAGACAGGGGAGTACCTGTTCGGAGAAAATCTTACAGAGAAGATAAAGACAGCTAAGGCTGTGCAAAAATCAGGAAAGGAACTTAAAGTTGATGACAAAAAGAAACCTTTTGTGAATCGTACTGAAGCAAACAACAAGAAGGCGACTAACACTAGGACTTTAAACTGGCGGGGCCCTCCTCGAGCCGGACCACAGCAGAGGTTCCAGAAGCTGGGAGGGCCAGCATTCAACATACACCAACCGGCATCGAGGAAAGAAGAGAGGGCACCTGCGAGGAGAGGGAAGAAATAATTGTAGAGGTAGGAAGAATTTGTTATTATATTCATAACTGGAAACAAATAACAAATGATCCCATTATATTGGAATGGGTTAAGGGGTATAAAATCCCATTCAGGGAAATACCTCATCAGAAGTTTGTTCCCTTGAACAATAACTTTCCTAAATCAGAACAATTACAATTAAGATCAGAAATCAAGAGGTTATTAAGTATAAAAGCCATTAATACGTGTACACCCACTAATAATCAGTTTTGTTCACCTATCTTTGTTATCAAAAAACCCAATGGATCATTCAGGTTCATCCTTAATCTTAAAAAATTAAACACCTTTGTTAATTGTGAACACTTTAAGTTAGAAGATTATCGTACTGTTTGTAAACTTATACACAATAATGATTATTTAACCCTTAACCAGGCCTCGGGCAAATCTTGTAGTAATAACGATTTTTTTATAGATTTATATGAAAAACAATGCTTAGTTTAAGATTTCATTAATTACATTTAGAAAATGAGTATAAATCCTTTAAAAAAACATGTGGGAATACGTAATCCCATTGCCTGGTTAGGCATTGACTTTTATATCTATATATATAAAAATCTGACAAGGACGGATGTTATTTTAACATTTTAGTAAAAAAAATAGTAAATAAAAAAAAACTAACGTTAATCTTTATTTCAGTAACACAAAAAAAAGAATGGACAAAGGTTTTTTTATA